TTCTTTTTGGGAAGTAATGTTAAAAATTCATGTAGGGGTTTTACCCTATCACGCAATTGCTTCACGCTCCGCCACCCGAACGCATTCTCATATTTCGTTCCGGTCGATGCTGTGTGGGCCCCCTTTTAGGCTCCGACGACGTTTCGCTTTCCTCCTAATCGGACAGCCTCAGATTCGTCTCCGAACGACTGCGTCCTTCACGCTAAACTGCTCCCATTTACGGTCGGGCGGTAAATCATAGCGCCGCGCCGCGCCGGCTTCCCCCAAAACGCGCGCCTCCCACGCCACTCCCCCCTACTATTTATTGCATATTAGATAAAATGCTAATTTTTGAGCGCCTCTGTGCGGAGGTGGTCATTTGTAAAAGTTGAGAGAGCGAGCCGGGGCCCCCGATGAAGTTGTCAGTTATGATATAGAGCCTCGTTGTCGGGAAATTCGGATGATTACATTAGTTGAGGGATATAACTTTTTTTCGTAAATGTTTTTGTCGTGTTTCCTTTGGGTGCGTTTAAGATATAGAATTACATTTAATTGGAAGTTCCTTGCCTATTTTTTAATTATTAATATACACCTGCGATATACACTCACCTGCAGGAAAAACGGGCACCTGGAAATTTTGATGTATTTTAAAGTTTAAAATAATTATTTGACTTTTTAGTATCTCTTTCTGAATTAAAAATGAAAGTTTCCGTCTGTCAATTATACGAAGAAAAACAAAATGATATTTTGATGAAAGTTTGGACCACCCTGTTGAGTACGTTAACAAAGCAAGAAATTTAAAAATTATTTTATCATCTAGGTACGTCTTTTCTCGATAGTTTGTTTTTTGATTCATCTCAATATATTTATTTTTATTGGAGATATTCACTTTTGAATAAGACCCAAGTAGCATTTTCAAGACTTGCGACCCATGTTTACACAACGTTGGATTAGTTATAAAAAATAGTTAGCTCCCTACCTTGGGTATTAAAATAAATTTAAACGTTTTTATAACGTTGTGCCGACGTTGGACTAGTACTACAGCAAAGTAGAAGCTTCTGCGACGTCGAATAAACGTTGTCTTTTAACCTTTTTTGCTTAAGTGATCTTTAGGTGATTCGGACAACGTAGTTACAACGTTGGACAATATAGAGTTTTCCGACGTCAGTTTCAGGACCTATTCCAACGTTATGCAAACGTCGTCTGTTTTACTAATTCCAATGTTGTTTAGATTTCCTTATTCTTACGTTGGTAGGACGTCGAGTCACTACCTTTTTGCAACTGTATTGAACCATAACCTTAAATCTTAAATTTTCACTTCATTGTTCTGTTCAGTCAGGCAGTTCAGTGCTGTTTTTGTTTTAATAAAAAAAACTTAATTAAAATGGGACATAAGAAAGGTACATATCAAACTATATTTAAATATACATCGACATATATTACCGATGTTTATCCACTCCCTCGTTTATTTAGATTATAGAGGGCGGCACAAGCTAGACTCTAGGATGACTAAATTAGGCAATCTTGCGACTAGTATACTACCTGTTAAGGCCGAACTGCGACTTTATTAGTCCAGTAAGCGACTACTCGAACTACTCCATCTTAATCTCCAAAACAACAAAGTGAAAGCCGCCATGTTGTTAAATAAGAAAATGTTTCGTTCCTAAAATAGCAAGTCCTGCTTTTTGAATACATTAATTTGAAATATTTGACCCTAAAAACACGCGGAAACAATTTTTTCGACTGCGAATAAATTATTCTCATTTTACTAAAAAAAAATTCAAGAAAATTTTTAAAACTTCTATAATTTTAAGGCCCATTAGTATTTTTCAAAGTAGAAACAATACATTTATCAATAAAGTTGTTTGCGTTTAACTTTTTTGCCTTGGGTAACGAGTTACAGAGTTGGTTAAAGTGTTTCAATAATTATGATCTTCAAACATCCTCCACACTTAAATACTTTTGTTTTGTTTTTCTTCACTGCCATCTGACATATGTCTCTAACTAAATCATAAAAATAATATTTTTACTATAATTATCCCAATTTAGGATAAAACGCGACTTAGACGCCATATTAGTTTTGTATTTCTGTGAATTAGGATTTTAAACAACGTTGCAGTTTGTACTAAATTAGGCTTCTAGCCAACGTCGGTATCCAACGTCGTTTCGACCCGAAAATTATTCTCCAAACTAGTGCAGACTAGGGTTGGCACGAGGTTGCGCCGACGTTGCACACCGACGTTTGGTCGCGTGACACAACGTTGTCCCGACGTCCAAATGCTGCTTGGGGACAGTAGTGGCTTTTTAGTTTTTGCAATTTTAGCATTGGATTTGGGTCCTTATCAACACATTTATAAAATAGTGTAGCGTTTTTTTTTAAAACATTACCACTGCGAACGGCAGCTATTCATCGGAGAGCAGTCGTGGGTAAGGTATTTCACTAGAGAGAAAACTAATCAATAACAATAAACAAATAAATACAGATATTAGGCGCCAGGCATGTACAAAGAAAGAAAACACAGTTGTATATTACTTAAAACTAATGACTATATTTATTCATGATGTTCTTTGCTGGTACATGACATTGTAGAGTTCTAATAAATATATAGTGGTTATATGTCAAAAAAATGGTATTAAGAGTTGTACTAAATATCTATGAAAGTAACTATGATAAAATACAAGACATGTAACGTTTAAGAGAATATATGAAATGTAGCATTACTTTAATTAATTTGATATATTTTATATGATGTTAGTGCAATAATAATATCTATAAAAAAGTAATACTATTACAAGGCGTAATGCAATGAAACCTAAAATCTAAATCATATTGTAACTACTAAATCGACATAAATGTTCTTAATAATCTAACCACTAAATATAGTCTGTACGATATCGTTTAAAATTTACGTTAAGTTAAAACTGAAAATCGACTGAAAACCAGAACCTAAATCTACACTTAGCTGTTCTTGAGTCAATCCTGTTTCGAAGAGTAGCAGCGTGAGGTGGGGTCATATCTCTGCACTGTCTGTCGGCGATCCTGTTGGCCCAAACAACAAAAGGGGCCAGAATGAGGACACCATGAATCACTACAGCCGTAGCTACTGACGCTGTATCCATACTGTGGCAATATGGGGACACTACCCGTACCTTGGAACACTACTAGGACCTTGGATAATGTCCGTACCTTGTAAATAGTCCGTACCTTGGACCCTAAAAATATGAAACTCTTGTTTAAAACCAAACAAGGTCTAATAAACAAAATAAACCTACCTCGAATTACTTCCGAGGGCTCAATAATAAACAAAGAAACTGTCCTTTCTTCCATGTAACATTCTGGAGGACAAAAGAAAAGGGACGCCAACGTGCCAGCAATATACAAATACAACAATTTAACAAGTTAAGTTGGGACATCCAAAACTCTACCCTGTTGGTTTGAAATAGCAGCTGATTCAAATTATACAGCAAGATTTAAATAATCACCATTTCTAAAAGCCGGGATACAACAGAGCGGCAAAACAAAGTGAGGTTAAGCACGGAGAGAGTTGACAGAAGCGATGTTGACAGCGCCTTCTCAGAGCGATAACAGGGTTGTGTCAAACGATAACAGGGTTGGCGACTAGGGAACGTAAAAATTACGCCAAGCGTGCCAAATAAATTATCAGGCCTGAACGATATGGAATCCGATGACGATACGCCAGACATCATATATATCATATATAAAAAAGACATGTAACGAACTAAAAACGTTACAATAGTGTTTATTGCTTTTTTAACGTTACTGTCATTGAAAAGTCATATTATGATTGTTTATTGATGTTTACTCTAGTAGAGATGGTTTTAAGTTCTTAAGGATTGGCTATTGCTGCTTTAATTGATCATGGTACTTTTGGCACTTTTTAAAACCATATCTGCTAGTGTAACTACCTAACAGACAATAATAATATGATTTTTCAAAGACAGTGGCGTTACATAAATTATAAATTCTATTTTATAGGTCTGTTGGCTAGGTTACTTCTCCAAAAAAATAAAGCTTTTGAGATGAATCAAAAAACAAACTATCGAGAATAGATAGACCTAGATAGCTTTTTTAACGTACTCCGCAGGGTGTTTGGAACTTTCACCAAAATATCCTCATTTTGTTTTCCTTCGTGTAATTGACAGATGGCAACTTTTTAATTTAGAAAGAGATACTAAAAAGTCAAATATTTTAACTACAAATTGCTTAAAAAATCATTAAAATCGGTACACTAAAACACAATATATACTATAAAATAACTTTAAAATACATGAAAATTTTAATTTGCCCCAAATGTCATAATAGTATAAAGAATAATACATGAATAAAAATAAAAAGTATATAAAATTTGTTCTGTTTTAACAGTGTTGCCAATGTGTTGAAAAGTAAAAGCTCTATTATACACTATACAACTAACTCATATTTTGACATAATTCATGAATAATGTTTATGCATAATTTGTCAACGTATGAGAGACATTTCTCTATTAAAGTTTAAAAATTGTTAAATTCTCTGTTTTTTTTTTCTAAACCATTTTGGACAAACTTTTATAGCAAATATTTCATCAGATAGTTTTTTGGTTTATCTGAAACAATCGTCAAAATATCAGTGAGGCGTACCAGTATCATGTTAGGTACATACATAATATGGCAACATAGATAGTAGATTAAATTTACAAGAGAGGATATCTAGAAAAGATCCAGTGGTTCTCAAAATTTAAGCAAAAAGTTTTTTTTTTGGAAATTTTCAAAGTAAAATAACTCTGTTATTTTGTACTTATTTGAAAAGCGGTAAAGAGAAAATATGTTTCTTTTATCGAAATCTACCAGCCCTGAAAACATTTGCATTTATTTAAGACTCACCCTGTAGTATAGTAAAACTAATTAAGGCACAAATAATTTGAGTAAAAGATAACTAATAATATAATACTTTGATGATAATAATAAATAAATGATGTATAATATATCAACGATTGTAATAAAAATTATAAAAATTCACTCACCGTAAAGCGTCGACACCAAACGGACAGCCACCGTATATCCCTGATCCTCTTCCCGTTGGGCAGTCTGAGGATTATGTCGGTGTTGTTGTGAGCTTTCAGCGGCGGATCCCTGAAACAAAGCGCTCGTCAATTGCCGCCGTCCGGAAAATATACCGGATCAATCGGCCGGAATGTAATCGCTAATGCCCGGACAAGCCGGCATTAACAACAGCAGATTCGCAGTTTTCGCCTTTTTTTTTTCGGCTATAACTTCGTTATTTGCTTTTGTTTTTAATTCTCGTCCGGCGTATTGTACTTTTGTTTGGACTGGTGAAATAGAAATAGTTGAAGTAGAAATAGATGAATCTATCCAAAAAATGATGAACGAATCAACTTAAACACATCTGCGTTTCAAAATCGGTCAAATAGATTTGACCAACTGACATAAATCATAATTTTATAAAACAAATTACACATAAAATCAAAACACATATAGCTCGACGTTACCCTGACGTAACACACGTCAACGGCGACGTTTCATTTTGTTAAACAAACAAATAAAACAAATTTCAATTAACAAGATCTGATAACGAGGTCTCATTATGAGTCCGTTAATATACCGTTTCCCCTTGCCCCGTGGCCCATTTAAAATAATCAACTCATCTACGCCAGTCCGTGATTGGTCGGCGAGATTCGCCGGTCGAATCGGCATCTGCATTACCGGCCGAACGCCTGCCGTCTCGATTTAAATGCAAATGAAACGGCGTCGCCCAGTGGACCGAGTCGCACAAAAACGAGTCAAAATAATTGATATGTTAATTGATTGGTAGAATGATATAGAATAGTTGAACTGTTGAAAACCAAAGTGGTCTAAGTCAAAAAACGTAGTTTTGAGATATGTGGCTCCAAAGTTAACGGCTTACTGTAAAATACTCACATAAGATATTAACTTTGGTATTGTAACACCCATTGGGACCAACTTAAATTTTCGCTTGAAAGTAGATTTTGTAGAAAAAAGTATTTTTAGGGTTCCGTACCCAAAGGCTAAAAACGGGAACCCTATTACTAAGATTTCGCTGTCCGTCCGTCCGTCTGTCACAAAGTCTATCTTATGAACCGTTATAGCTAGATAGTTGAAATTTTTATAGATAATGTATCTATGATGCCGATATAAGAAAAAATACTAAAAACAGAATTAAATAAATGTTTATAAATAAAAAAGTACTTTCACTAAACATTATCTTTTAAGTAAGAATTTTACATAGAATCTTTCAAGTCCTCAGTGACCGCGTGGTTAAAGCATTCGGACTTAACGCTGCTATGACGTCGGAGCCGTAGTAAGGCAGGTTCGAATCCTAGTCCAGGCGACTTTTTTTTAATCGTTTTTTTAATTTTTACATATTTTTACATATTTATTTTTACTTTTTACATATTTATTTTTACTTTTTACATATTTATTATTGATTAATACAATCTTTAGTAATGTGTTCCTTCATTTTTTTTAAATTACTTATACGCTCATTCAAAATTTTAGATAAATCGGAAAAAAATTATAATAATATAGTATAATATTTATATAATATATATATATATATATATATATATATATATATATATATATATATATATATATATATATATATATATATATATATATATATATATATATATATATATATATATGTATGGGTAATGAATGGTATATATATATATATATGCGTATATATATATATATATATATATATAATGTTGTATGGGTAATGAATGGTACGGAACCCTTCGTGCGCGTGCGCGAGTCCGACTCGCACTTGACCAATTTTTTGTTTGTTTATTTTGTATTTTTGAATTTGTTGACTTGGACAATTCTGGCTTTCAATTGATTGGGACTATTCGTGCATAATCTAAATTATGTCTTCATCTAAATAAAAAAATATATTAAAAAACTGTATCTATGTCTTCAAATGTTAATAAGATAATATAACGGTTTAACAAGTTAAGAAACATATTTGATAGTATCAGCATTATCAAAAACACCCTAGTTAATAGTGATGGGTTGTTATTTAACTATCTGTTATTTTATAACAATTATTTAGAAATAACATAACGCAACCGTTACTACTTTTAAAAAATAACAGATATAAAATAACGACACGCAGAGATCGATTGTTCGTGAAACGAAGTCGGCGCTCTGCACCGCCAGGAAATTCGATGCTGCTTGAAGCAATTCCAAAAAACAACTAGTATGGATGGAAAACATGTTATTTCGACAACCATCGGGAAAGAAACGCTGCTGCATCGGTCGATTGTCGATGGAGGCTCGCAACGGGTTGGAGAATAACGCATCAGTTGTTTTAGCTACGTTGTTTTTTAACCTGTTACGAGCATAACAGAGCGGCGGTCGAGATAATCGGAGTGGGAAAGTAACGCTGCTGCATCGGTCGATTGTCGATGGAGGTTCGAAACAGGTTGGAGAATAACGCATCAGTTGTTTTAGATACATTGTTATTCAACCTGTTGCGAGCATAACGGGCGGAGGTCGAGATATTATAGCGCTGTATGTTTCAGTACTTGGTTATTAAGTTTTAATTATGAAGAATATACTACACATTTTCTTATATTGCTATTTTTTGACCGCAAATGGTAAAATCATAACTAAGAGCTTCTCGCCCGTCGAGTGAGATGCACCCTGTACGCTGCTACGCAATTCAGGATCTACGCGGATCGAGATGCAGGGCGTAGGTAGATCGGAATGTATAGGTATAGACGAGTGGCGGCATTTTGGCTTTTTTATATCGCAATTTGTAAACAGCACTTATTTGTAAACAACCACCATTTTTAGAGAGGTATTTTAGTTAACAATCGATATTTAGAAATGTTATGACACCCTGGAAATACTACCACCGAGCACGTCATTGTTGCAACTTGCAACTGCGTTAATACGCCTGGCGGTGACCGCCTCATACTCTTTCAGATATTTAGCAATAAAATAAAGAAACCTGTTATTTTTAAGCTGTTATTTTAAGCTGTTTTTTATAAATAACTATAACAGTTTCAACTGCTATCTAAAAATAACAGTTTTGCCCATCACTACTAAGCTCCCTTTATACGGCAGATTATTTTCTAAAAGTTCTATGTCATAATATTTGTCCTGGCTTTGTATTGCTTCTACACCTTAAGTTCTTCGAACTGAGATAGTTGTTAGATATTTTACTTTTTTTGCATTGAGAAAACGTCAAAAGTTGACATATGATATGTCATTTTATTCAGAGTGTCATTTTCTATCGAATAAAGTAAAAAAAAAATACCGGAGGTGCCATTTAAAATTCAAAAGTTGTAGTAATTTCCGGTGAAACAGGAAGTGGCCGAAAAGAATTGAATAACCCAATCAGTCCTAATTTATGTCATATACTAACATACGAAATCTAGTTTTTTATCTAAAAAAATAAAAAAATTATAGGGGTGAGCCACTTTAGAGACCCGCACCCGGTATTTCGTCCTTTTCCTATTTTTCCAACCTTATGAAATTAAATTTAGTAAAACGTCCAAACTAATAAAAAAACACAAAGAAAATAATCATAAAACTTATTTTTTAACTATGGCACAACGTTCAGATCGACGGCAACATCAGCGTCTCTCCCTCTACAGTTTAAAGACCTTGAATTACGCTAGGATCTCTATTTTTCAACTTGATATAATTTTGGCTAATGTTCACGGATATTGTTCCGCTGTGCTCCAGCATAGAGAAGATATCGTCCTGCTGGCTGGCTGCTGGCGTTTGATTAAATATGCGCCCCGGGCACTAGACGACTGGGGGCGGTGTGAGGTGGAGAGGGGGGGAGTGTTGCAACAGTGAAGGGGAGTAAAAAGGGGGTGTCTGTCGGCACCCTTTGAACGGATACACTATGGGTGGCGAATATACTTAAATCATTCAGAGGATACGGATATTACCATTAGGATAATTGGGGCTCGGCTCCCTTAGAAATATTTGTGGGATTGTGGGAATGTTTAAAAGTCTCTTTCTGTGGGGTTTATTACATGGTTTGACCAACATAGCAACTGTTGCATCTTATATTTAGTGGCAGCAGAAATTATTGTCATATTAACATCAATAAAATGCTTGAATTCAATAATATAGGAGTTTGAATATTATATGAGTAGTTTTTAGATTGTCGATTATATTAGAAAAAGAGTTCTTACTACCCACATCATACTAATTAAAATATCAAATACAAATAAAATTAAAAATATAACAATACACGAGGGTGAAATTTTAGTCTCCTTTGACACAAATTACTAGTAGTGGGAACTATCGAATGAATACTATCGAAACATTCGATAGTTGCAATTCATTCGAATAATTCGATAGCTAGTAAGAAAACATTCGTTGAAAACTATTCGAATAAAAATATCGAATAGATGCGTCATCTGCCTTGAAATATATTAATTCGGCAGCAAAAACCATTCATTTATAAAATTCATTCATTTGTAAAATTCATTTATTCGTCAGGATCGATTATAATAAAATATAAAGTGGATTTTAGTTGTCGCCCGGCGACGTAGGTTTCTTTCCTAGAAACCCGACAGCGGTCGGCGGTCGGTGGCAATGGTATGAAAAAAGCCGGCATCTTTGATTTTGAGTCAGATAAAGATAAGGACACATTATTTTTTTTATTGAGGTGCTACATTTTGAACGGCGCTGTTGCCGTATATTCGTATTAGTTGGTATTAGCAAAGAATATTATTCTTTGGTATTATAGTTAGTTAGGGATAGTATGACTATATATTTTGCATGTTTTTTATTAATATTCTGTTGTTACACTACAATAATACTTTTTATTTTGGATGTAGGAAAATTATTTTTAATGTTTTTAAGCAAAACTGGTTTAATAAATAATAATAACAGTAATAATTTGTTATACCTATTAACACCAAAATTTAAAATCATTTAATATAAACATTTTTTTAAGTAGTAGCAAAATATAAACAAAAAAGTCAAAATTATTTATATTAGATCCTATTTAAAAATAATATAGTCTCTAAATTTTTTGGCAACGTTGGTTTATTAAATAATAATAATTACAGAACTAATTCGTTATATTAACAACAAATTTTAAAATCATGAAATATAAA